CTCTTACATTTTACCAATTTTAAATCCTATAATAGACCTCGGGTCTAGTATATATCTGAGAGTTCATATTACTAAAAAGAAAACTTTGAAAAGTATGCATATTTCGCATTTATAATAGACAATTCAAATATTTGAAAAAACTATATTTAATTAATATAGATCTTATAATACATATCTGGATATACTATATAGTGGGTCTACTATTATGAGAATCTTGTATTTTGCAATTTATAGTAATATAAGGTTCCAATCTTAGTTTTTATGAGGTTTTTGGGGGCTCTGAACATTTTTATTTAGAGTACTTAATCCTATTTACTTAGTATATTTTTGAAAAATAGAGATCTAGGTGTAAAATACCATAGATGCATTTTAGTAAAGTGTTTTTTAAATATATATTTTTTAATAAATATTTGACTAATTTTAATAATTTTACTATTGTTAAAATTAAAAAAATCTATTTTACAACTTTGTTTAAAAATTTAAACTTAGTTTATTTTTTTAATTTTAAAAAAAAAATTTTTATAGTTTTATATATTAATTTTAAACACCTAAGCAATTAAATTTGAATATTATAACAATTAAATTTAAAATTATAGCAATTAAATTTAGATATACTGTAGTAGCAATCAAATTTAGATATTTTAGCAATCAAATTTAAATATTTTAGCAATTAAATTTGGTTATTAGAATAATATATTTAAATTCAAATATAGTAGCAATTAAATTTAGACTAGTAATTTAAATTAAAAAAAAATTTTTTTAATTGATTAATTAAACTGAATTATTTTATTCAACCAACTATTTTTACTACTTTTAAAAACTCTTAAAGCTTTACTTAAAGTTTTGTTTTATTCTTGCTCTTCTTTTTTGTTTATTTATTTTTTATTTTTTAAATTTTTTCAGATTCTTTACTTTTTTCTTATATTATTTTTGTATTATATTAACTTGTCAACCAATTATTCAATTTTTAACTAGTTGTACTAGGCTAGCTAATTAAGAATTTCTTTAATTGGTCAATTAAAATTTAGTTTAATTAACTAATTATAGTTTAACTAATTCAAGTTACTAATTTAAATATTCTAGCAATTAAATTTGAATATTGATATTTTGTAATCTAGTGGTCTAAATTGTGCAATTTTGATATTATTTAACTCATATTAACAAAATAAGTTAAATAGTACTAAAATTATACAGATTTGTTTACTAGATTATAAAATATTATTGTTTAAATTTAATTGCTAAAATATTGCTAGAATATTTAAATTTAATTGCTATTATATTCAAATTTGATTGCTATATATTTAAATTTAATTGTTATAATATAATATTTAAATTTAATTATTATAATATTTAAATTTAATTGCTTAGATAAGTATAGTTAAAAATTTATCTAATTGGCTATTAATCTTTGAAATATTATTGGCTATCTATAGTAAACATTCTATATAAAATTACAATTAATTATATGATAAACTACTAACAAATATAATTAAATTTAATGAATTTTGTCAGAAGCAAATTACTTCAAAGAACTAATTTTTATTAAAATTGTATTAACTTTTACTATAAAAATTTAGTACTTGTAAACAGTATTTAAAATTCAATTTTCTCAATGTTCTCAATGAATATTTAATTTTTTTTAAGAATATTAATATTAAAATGATATTGTTTTATTTAAGAATATTTTGTTCTTTTAAAATAGTTTCAAAGAAAACATTTATAAAATTTTATATTTTCAATTTTATTAATAAGAACAGTAGATTATACGTATAAAATGTTCTAATTTTAATATAAATTTTTGCTTATTAGTTTTTAATTGTGATATATATCTATTGGTAATCTCATTAAGCATGATACATTTGATTTAAAATAGTATAGATTTAAATTTTTGTTAATAACCCTCTATAAAATTTATTGACAATAATCCTTAGATTTTTCTTTTTAAATAAAAAAAAAGATTATGTTATTATGTCTTCTCATTGATGAGAACCAGCTACTCGAAGTTACTCTTCTAATTGTTAAAAAATCTATAATATGTGTAATATTTTCATTCATTACTATGTAATGTAGATCAAAAAAATATCATCATGTGGTACTACTACACAAGTGTATAGTCACCATTATTGGCAAAAACGTAACCAATAATCTCCTTGGTTGCTTATATGAGAAAATGTTTTATTCATACAAAAATATAATCAACAATTTCTTTAATTATCCAAATAATATTAATAGTAGTTACTTTATCAAATATTATAGCAATAAAATATAATTTTTTCAGTAAAATTAAAAATTTTTAGTAATATAGATACAGGGACTATTATGAAAGCAGTTTAAATTTGAATTTTTCATGTCTAATTATTCCAGTGGACTCGTACAAACAGAAAATATAAAGTTAAATTTGATGGTCACATGATTAAAAAAACTCAAAATCGATTCAAAAAATAGGTTTATCATATCTTAACCTCTTAAACCGATTTAACAAAGGTCTTTCTCCTGGATTTTGCAGTTCTAAAGGTAATAAGATAATTAAATTTAACCAGGTGGATAGTTCACAATGGCTCCTCAAATATAGTCTAATTTTTTATATAATGTTTATCAAATGATCTGCAAAGTTTGGTAATTATAAAATTAATCTTATCTAAAGTTTGAGGTGCTATTGCGAATGATCCACCAGGACAAATTTAATTATCTTACACTTGTTAGAACGACAAAAACTAGATGAATAAGTTTATTTAAAATACTATGTAAAGTTTTTATAGCACTAAAATTTGGTTTGGTCACGTTTTAATTTATTTACTCATAAGGCCATTTTTTTTTTTTTTTTTTACCATACAACTTTCTTTAGCACTGTTTTTGTTATATTTAAATCTTTAAGCATTTTAATAAAATCTTTCTCCTGGATTTTGTAGTTCTAAAGATAGTAAAATAATTAAATTTGACCTAGTAAATAGTTCACAACGGCTTCTCAAAGATAGTCTGATTTTTATATAGTGTTTATTAAATGATTTGCAAAGTTGGGTAATTATACTTAAAGTTTGAGATGCCATTGCAAATGATCTACCAGGCCAAATTTAATTATTTTACTCTTGTTAAAATGACAAAAACCAGGCGAATAACTTTATTAGTGCATATGGAAAGTTTAGATAGTACTAAAATCTGTTTTGGCCACGTTTTAGTTTATTTACTTATAAGGTTATTCTTTTTTTTTTTTTAACATACAACTTTCTTTAGCTAACAAAATTTTGACAAAATAGTACATTTTGAAAGGATGAATGCAAGCTGCAGTAATCGTATAATGCATAATAATATGAATACACTATAAATTCTATAAAAATTTCAACATTTACATCTTCATGATTGATCAATTCATTATAGACCAAATCGAACATACTCAAATCACTCTAACTGTTAATGGAAAAAAAAAGATCTTGTCCGTTCATAACTATATTAAAAAAAAAAAAGAAAATAACTGACGAAGAGGCAAAGCAAATTACTAACCTTCGTAAAGAAATTTTTGTAGCAACAAAGGTAGATGAAGCAACAATTGCTCGTGTTATTGCTAAATTCAATAAATATAGAAACATTACATCATTAGAACAAGGTCACCGACCTCCCAAAGATTTTCAAGTAGAATACGTGAATGCAATTCATGATTTAATTTTATCTGCAAATAGAAACAGTCTTTCTCTTTCTCTTCAAGATATAGTCTTTCAATTATTTGAATTAGGCTTTGTAATTTCAAAAGCACAACTTGCACATCACTTAAAAAAACTTGGTTATCATTACGGAAAGGGTAAATGACAAAATATTCTCCATGAAGCTCTTCAAAATATTTTGTATCAGGCACGATATCTTTGTTGGCGGTTTGAAAATATTCAAGGACAAAATAATGTACCAACTCTCCTAGAAGTTTTTCTCAATAAATCGTATTGTTATATGCACCATAATTGCAATTTGACCTGGGTTCTAAAGGATGGTGTAGTGTATGATAAGGGAAGAGGTCGTATGTTGGTTATATTTGAAGCTATCATTATTTTTAGTAATGGAAATAGCAATAAAGTAGAAGAAGAGTTTGTTTATAAATCTTTTCTTATTTGGGACCCTACTACAAAGAAATCTACTAGGAAAGGAAGAAAGAAAAAGAATGCAAAAGCATAGGAGGCAGTTCCAAATGCAGTAAAAACAGCTAGTATTGTTCCAGATAAGATGAATTATCATGAGAATTTTAATGCAGAAGTATTTGAAAGAATTTTTGAAAACCTTTGTGAAAATCTTTACTATAATTATGGACCATGCATTATCTATATGGATGGGGCAAAATACTACAAACGTCGCTCTGAAGCTGCATCAACTTCTAATTGAAATAAACCTACAATAAAGAAGTATTTAGAATCTCACAATATCGATTTTAACTCTAGTATGACAAAAACAGAACTATATAAATTGGCAAAAAAAGAGAAAAAATTTATCTCTTTCACCATTGTCACTATTGCAAATAAGTTTGGTCATCAACTTCTTTTTACACCTCCATATCATTGTAAGCTATAGCCGATTGAGCTAGTGTGGGGAGTTGTAAAAAATAAAGTTGCAGAGGGGCAAAAGCAGCCTGATATTTTTTCTCTTCGAAATGTCTTACTTAGTCTCTTTCAGGAGGAAATAACTTTAGATGTAGTTGTTTCGAGCTGGAAAAAATGTTTAGGTAAGATGGGAAACTATTGGGAAATAGTTGATAATGGAATAAATGACAAGAGTGAAGATAAAGATATAAACTTGTATTTAGAAGACAAAAATCTTAATGAGAAAGTGTAGCCCCTTTAAATTGATAATCTATTGTATAACCCTATACGATGAATTCAATATATAATATAAGTTTTTTTTTTGTTATATATATCGTTATTTTGCATTAAGTAAAATATTTTTAATAGACTTTTGTGATTAAAATTTAATTTTAAGGAAAATTAACTAAGATTTTATTAATACGTTCTATGTTTTAAATTCGTGTTAAAAAAATTTTACGGGTTTAAAAAAAAAAAAAAAAAAGTTTGCCGTTAAATATTGAAAAATCTCTATTGCTAACTGTCTATAAAGCATTAAGTAAACTTTTTTTATAGTCGAAAATATTTAGTATAAAATTTTCATAACGATAGGTAAAAATTTTTCTTATTAATTTTAGAAATTATTTAGGTGAATTATAGTTGTAAATTTTAAATAAATTTCTTGAACAATTTTTTTTTACTAATTTAAAAATTTTATGAGAAAAATTTTTATATATCGGTATAAAATTTTAATATATTATATTTTTGACTATGGAGAATAATTTATCTAATATTTAGGTGAGGTTTATTAGCTTGTTGAATTTTGAAAATTTTATTAAAAAAATTAGATTATTTATTGCAACAATTTTTAAGTGACTAATCATATTAATAAAATGGTTTTCAAATTTTTTGAAAATTTTAATACATACGTAAAACATTACCAGTAATATTTTTTCAAGTAAAAAAAGTACGATTCGCATAATAAAAAAAATTTTTTATATAGGTAAAGTTTTGGTTCGGATATATACAATCGCTTTCTGAAATTTTGTAAATTGGTAATATTGTGCATATAGCTAGTTTGTGATACTTGAATTTTTATAATCTTAAATTAAAATATTTTTTTTCTGAAAAGTATTGCTTTATTTTGATACTAGTTAATTAGAATATTAGTTATAAATTTTTCCAACTTGTATTAGACAAGTTCGATGTATTAGAAGTGATGAGATAACTGATATATACTATATATATATATATATATATATATATATACAATATATATTTAAAATTTATACAATAGAGATGTGGCAACTTAGTGTAGTGGTCTAGTCATTACCCTCTCCAAGTGGCAGGTCTAGAGTTCAAATCCCACGGACGACGAATTTTGAAAAATAGCCTGTGTTACGGTT